CACGGCCGCAGGTGCCCCGTCCGCCCGAGCCATGGGCTCTGAAGTCGCACAGCTGCTGGAGGCTGCAGACTTCGCGGCTCGCAAGCACCGACAGCAGCGGCGAAAGGACCCGGAGGGGACCCCCTACATCAACCACCCCATCGGTGGGCGCGGGCCGGGAAAAACCGCCGCGGCTCTTGGCGGGGGGAACGCGGAGGGCGCGCACCTGTGGGGCTTCTACTTGTACCAGCTTTGTGCCATTTTCCGTGTAGGGCTCACAGCTACCCGGGGCAGTAGGCACCATTGTTTCCTTGGTACGGTTGACACTTTTAAGAGGGTAAGGGACTTGGCGAAGGCCACCCAGCTAGTGAGGGGCCACATTTGTCTCTCCAAACTCACAACACGCCGCCTTGGGGACCCTCCCATCTGACTTCCTCCTTGCCCCTTCAGGTGTGGCTCGCATCCTAACCCATGAGGCAGGAATCACTGACATTGTGGTGTTACAGGTAACTTCCCCTTCTCTGCCAGGAGGCTGGGGTGGAGATCAGGGGCCTCATTCAGCAGTGGGCACCTTGTGACTGGTGTCTCAGAGTTAAGTGTAAGCCTGTCCCCAGGCAGCCCTGCTTCATGATACTGTGGAAGACACAGACACCACCCTGGATGAGGTAGAGCTGCACTTTGGGGCACAGGTGCGGCGCCTAGTGGAGGAGGTTACAGATGACAAGACTCTACCCAAGATGGAGAGAAAGCAGCTGCAAGTGGAGCAGGCGCCCCACAGCAGCCCAGGTGCTAAACTGGTGAAGCTGGCAGACAAGCTGTACAACCTGAGGGACCTGAACCGCTGCACCCCAGAGGGTATGCTCTCCAGTCAGCTCTGGGGGAAAGGGAGTATATCCACCTTCTGAAGACACAGGTTGGTCAGTTCTGAAAAGAGCCTGGGCGTTTTTGCTCCTTCTCCAAATTAATCCTACCAGAGCAAACATTTTAAACAGGGGGCCAGTTCACAGTCTCTTAAACCGTTGGAGGGCCAGACTGCAGGCCCTGGGACGAGTTGACTGCTAAGCAGGACAGGCAGCGGCAGCAAAAACGCCCAGCTGGCCAGATAAATGTCTTAGGTGGGCTGCATGTGGCCCGCAGGCCCTAGTTTGAGGACACCTGTACTAGACCATTCTCTGATCTTTCATAAGGTAAAAATACAGTAGCTAGACCAAGGGGAAGTTTTCAGGAGCTCATCTCATGGCCCTGCACCAAGCCCTCCATAAAGTGGGCAAAAAGCAATGCTGTCTTTGTCATGACATGAATAGGTTTCTGTTCACTCTTATGCAGGATGGTCAGAACATCGAGTCCAGGAATACTTCGAGTGGGCAGCACAGGTAGTGAAGGGGCTTCAGGGAACAAACCGGCAACTTGAAGAGGCTCTGAAGCATCTGTTCAAGGAGCGGGGGCTAACACTCTGAGCCCTACCGGGGTGCAACTCCAGCCTTGCCCAGGCTGGGCAGGGTTTTCTGCGCCTCCAGAGTTCCCTCCCTTTCCCCTTAGCCCAGATATCAGAGGCCAAAAACTCTCATATTTTCTCACCCTGAAGCTCTCCTGAAAACAAAGCTGAACCCCAAACGTGAGAGTCAGATGTAACCTACCCATTTCTAGTGTACTCACTGCCTTTTCCCAGTCTTGTGTGTATTTGCTGTTTTGCAAGACAAGATCTCTGGTCCCTCAGGGAGGTGGGCTTGTATAAATACTAGTTTCTAAGTCATTATGGAAAATAAAAGGATTTGGGGTAAAGGTTTTAAGTTGCTGCTGCTCTTTCCTGGCCTCCTGAATGGGGGACTAGTAGGCTGCATTCCTGTCTTTCAGCAGCATGGGGTTCCAATTGTGTGTGTCTGAGTCACCTCCCTTAGGTTGGAGGCTCACACCCTCTGATCCTGGCTTCCTTATCAGTGAGGTAGGCTGTGTAATTTTAAGGGTTAGATTTGATGCCTGATGGAGCCTGACATACAGGTATTCAAATGATAGCCTTCCCATTAAGAAAGTCGGAAGGGATGTCAGATGCAAGGGAAGAGTGCTACCTCCTCACTGGCAACCCTTGCTTGGCAGGGGACAGCCAGCAGCAGCAGCAGAATGGTTGGTCAGGTGGGGTCTGCAGTTCACATTCTCCAAACCACAGCAAAAAACATTCTTGCAGTGTCCTCTGGTTGTTAAAGGACAGGAACTTCCAGGGGCTGCCGAGCTGGTCCTGCTCTACAAGCGGACGATAGGTGGGGTCTAGGGGATTGGCAGAGCTTTGCACTCGGCTCGACACAAGGGATGACTAGGTGATGAGGGATGATCAGGTGGCAGTGGCTTTAGATGCTGCTGAGGCTTCTTAAGCTGCCTTAAACAGCAATCATCTAAGGCTCAAGGAAATTGTTAGGTCAGAAGCCACTTGGTGTTAAACCATGATCAAGCGCCATACAAAAAAATATGTGAAGGGCAACAAAAAAGTGTGAAAGAAAATGAGTTTCAGGATGGTCCTAGATAAAGAATGAATGAAGTTCAGTGTAGTCCCCAGGGTATGGTACGTTTAGGGGAGTTTTGTTTTGAGCTAGGTTGCCCACGCTAGAATGCAGTGGCCACATCATAGCTCACTGCAGCCTCCAACTCCTGAGCTCAAGCAATGCTCCTGCCTCAGCCTCTTGAGTAGCTGGGACAACAGGTGAGCACCACACCTGCTAATTTTTCTTATTTTTTGTAAAGAGGTCTCACTAAGTTGCCCATGAACTTGAACTCCTGGCCTCTAAGCTGTCCTCCTGCCTCAGCGTCCCAAAGAGCCAGGCATGAGCCACTGCACCTGCCCAGAATTTTTGTTTTTGAGACAGAGTTTCACTTTGTTGCCCTCAGTCCAGTGCCAAGGTGTCATAGCTCACAGCAACCTCAAACTCTTGGGCTCCACTGATCCTTTTGCCTTAACCCCGAGTAGCTAGGTGACCACTACTCCTGGGCTCATGCAATCCACCCACCTCAGCCTTCTAGAGTGCTTGAGCCATTGCGCCCAGCTCCCAGATTTTTTTATTTAAAAAAAAATTTTTTTTTGAGACAAGAAGCTCTGTTGCCCAGGCTCACAGCAAGCTCAAATTCCTGGGTTCAAGTGATCCTTTTGATTCAGCTTCCCCAGTAGCTGAGACTATAGGCACCTACCACAACACTGTTAATTTTTTTTCTTTTTTTTGTAGAGACAGAGTCTCACTTTTTCGCCCTTGGCAGGGTGCAGCAGAGTCGCTCCAGCAACCTCCAACTCCTGGGCTTAGGCGATTCTTCTGCCTCAGCCTCCCAAGTAGCTGGAACTACAGGTGCCCGCCACAATGCCCAGCTATTTTTTTTGTTGCAGTTTGGCCAGGGCTGGGTTTGAACCCGCCACCCTCAGTATATGGGGCTGGCGCCCTACTCACTGAGCCACAGGCGCCTCCCAACACTGTTAATTTTTCTGGGTTTTGGTAGAGATGGAGTTTTGCTCTTGCTCAGAACAGGCTACTCTCAAACTCCTGAACTCAAGGGATCCTCCCACCTCAGCCTCCCAGAGTGCTAATGATGATGGCAGCCACTGTTGTCCTAAATAACCATTACACACAGGGTAGTGCTGGATAGGCCCTAGCAGGACTGGATGGGCCTATATGTCACCATTTGGAATTATTTATTCACATTCAGGCCTTCTGTCATAGATAGTTATGAGACAAGATGCTCTAAGGATCAAGGTGACAGGGCAGTCTCTTAGGAGGCTAGGGACAGGGCCTTGTGGCAGCAATTCACAAAACTCCTGGGAGGATCATGGGGTATTCTGCCAAGACTTGGATCAGCAGAGGGGACACCCAGCCTACATGGCCTCTATGGAACAACAATACACCCTGCTCCTCATGGCTCCAACACCACTTATCTGCAGCCCCTTCCTCCCCAACCCCAACTCCAGACCCAGCACTATAGAGTAGAAATTCTTTGAAGAGATAAGATAACCACTTTAAGATGGGATATTGTATAACCTTGTTATCTATGAGAAGTCTGTTTAATATATACTGTGATGATTAGTAACTGCTGATGTTGCTTTTGCTGTGCCTTTTAAAAGTAACAAAGGAGAACTGGAGAGCAGAGCAGCGCTTTGAGGAGATATCTCCACTGCTCTCTGGAATTGCTGGCTTTGTTATAAATAAAAGTGGAATTGTTGCTCTTCTTATCCACTTCACTGTTTATTGGCTTGAGTGACAGGTGGGCAGACTTCTTAGTCTGGCAACACTACTATTACAGGCATGAACCAACATGCCTGGCCTGGTTTTAACTTTTTTTTTTTATTAGTTTTAAAGGACTTGGATTACACAATTTTTTACATTCTTCCTTACTCTTTAAAATATATATATATATATCAAAGTTTTAAAATAAGTCTGCAGTTTTTAAGTGGTTTGAAGTTTAAAATCTAAAAATTTTAGGACATTGAACAAACATTGATTCCTTTTTTACCTTTAGCATGCAAAGATAGTTACAAGGTGTTTGAGTTTCTCCCAGTTAACTGTTACTTCACCCATTGTTTATAATAACCTGGTACAATAGGCAGAGGACTTATTGTTCATATTTTATAAAGAAGAAATAAAAAGTTGTTAATGGTTTCATTTTTTCTTTTTTGAGACAGTCTCATTTTGTCACCCTTGGTAAAGTGGTGTAGCATTATAGCCCACAACTTCAAACTCTTGGGTACAGCAATCCTCTTGCCTCAGCCTCCCAAGCAGCTAGGACTATAGATACCTGCTACAATGCCTGCCTAGTTTTTAGAAACAGAGTCTTGTTCTTGCTCAGGCTGCTCTCAAACTAGTGAGCTCAAACAATCCACCCACCTCAGCTCCCAGAGTACTAGGATTACAGATGTTGAGCTACCTTGCCCAACCTTTGTTAATGGTTTTCAACAGTGACAGGAGAGCCTTAATCTGGGGCTCTTGACTCCTTTTTGCCACACTACTAGGCCTTTTGAACCAGAAAGAAATGAGTGACCACAACTGAGGTCAGCTCAATTGGGACTTCATAAAGATCAGGTGTGAGGCCTCCCTAGATCTAAGCCAATATAGTAGATATTTCTTTAATTCAATAATTATTTTAAACAATCAGAAATTTACAGAAAATCTGGAAGTATTTGGACAAGTAGTTTTTTTCTCCTGAGCCAGAATTTGCTGACCAGATGATGTAATCACCCCTAAATACTTTGGTATTTAGCCTTGAGTATCTATTGCTGTTATATTAGAAGTCATAACCACAGACCTGCCTGATTTCCAGGTTTTCTTTTTTTCCCTTTTTTCTAACCCCCCCATTAAAAAAAATACTATAATTGTATTTATTATTTTTCTGAAAAAATAATTTTTTTTTGAGACAGTCTTACTCTGCCACCTTGCGTAGAATGCCATGGCATCATAGCTCACAACCTCAGACTCTTGGGCTCAAATGATCCTCCTGCCTCAGCTGAGTCCTGAGCACCTGGGACTACAGATACCCACCACAATGCTCAGCTAGTTTTTCTTCTTTTAGTAGAAGACAAGGTTTCTCTCTTGCTCAGGCTGGTCTCAAACTCCTAAGGTAAAGTGGTAGACCCACCTCGGCCTTCCAAAGTGCCAGGATTACAGGTATCAGCCACTACACCCGGCCTAAAAATTTTAAAAGATTTTATCTATTCTTAGAAGTAACAGAGATTAATGGCTTCCCACACAGAATTTACTGGTATCCTTTTTTCATATGTGAATCTTTTTACAAAATATTGAAGCAGTAAAGGACATTTCACCCCCAAATATGCCAAATTGGTATGTTATTTTTTAAGGGGGGGAGACTCAGTTTATCAGTCTCACTTCATCACCCCCAGTACAGTGCTGTGGTGTCACAGCTCACAGTAACCTCAAACTCTTGGGCTTAAGTGATTCTCTTGCTTAGCCTCCCAAGTAGCTGGGACTACAGGCCAGGCAGTAGCTGCCACGACACCTGGCTATTTTTTGTTGTTGTTGCAGTTGTCATTGTTGTTTAACAGGCCTGGGCTGGGTTTGAACCTGCCTGGCGCCATAACCACTGAGCTATGGGTCCTGAGCCTATATTGATTATTTAGAGTTGAAAACATTTCTCTTTGGGAAATCTGGTAGCCTGAGTGCCTCTTCCCCACCTTAGCAGCAATAGCCAATTCATTATCTTTCAGAATTGTTTTAGTATTCTTAGACATTTACTCTTCTAAATTTACTTTAGAACCTGGCAATTCTAAAAAGTATCCAATCTCACTGGAATTACATTGAATTTATCAGCTGATTTGGGGAGAACCAAACTCTTTATACAAACATGATGTGTAGTATCATTGGGTCAATTTAGAGAACACTCTTAATAAGTCTTTAGCTGATTCTCTTATTTAGAGTTTACAGGTAGGCAGTTTATTGTCTACAAACAATGGCAATCATAATTCTTCCTCATCTGCCTTATTGCAAGGGAAGTAGTGCCAGGACATTGTTAAATAATAGCATGCCCTTGGCTAGGTCCTGACTTTAATGGGAATGCCTGTGGTGTTTGACTCTTTAGAATGCTGGTAACTTAATTTCTGAGAGAGATTTTGTTCTAGATTAGGATGTTTCTTTCTAGACTTAATTTACTAAGAGTTTTAATAAGGGTTAGATTTTAAATTTTTCCAAGTATCTTCCCAGCATCTATAGAGTATCATAAATGTTTTTCTATTAATCAAAGCTGCAGTGAGGGCTCATTAGCAGCCATACTTCTTCCTAATGTACTCTCATACCCCTCATCTCCTGTACCAGGAATTGAAAGCTTTCTGTCAAGCCACCTAAGCACATGTGGTCTTGGAGGATTCACTTTCTTTCCCAGTGAAGGAAATAGGACCAACCCCCTGAGAGGAAGCAGCTCTTGGGGATGGTGGTATGCAGAGTACAGGCCAAAGAGGGTCACAAATCAATGTGCCCAGCTCACCATAGGGGTTTGATACCTAAAATGTTCTCTGATATGTGGCCATGACAGTCTGCAGTTGAGTCCTTTCTGCCACTCTGCAGCCCCCAGCCGGGCCAGATGGCACTGGGAGTGGAGCCATCACAGAGACAGCAAGGCCTTTGGACTATTAGGAGAAACGTGGATGCCTTCCACTTCTCCACCCTCTATAACTCTGGGTCCCCAGCCCTCTCTTCCAGAGTTGCTCTGGCCCTGCTGGTGACACCAGGCATGTAGTCTACATAACCACAAGGTTTCCCTAGAGCCAGCTCTTGCTCAGGGAGACCCTGTATGGGGTGGTTACCCACGTGGCCTCCCTCACCTCTTCTGTCTGCCTCGGCGTCTCCTACATTCCCTTTGTGAAAAGGGTGGGTGCTTGGGCCTGTGCCCAGCTGGGTGGCCTCTTACCACCCAAAGCATAGTCTTGCACAGCCTGCTCTGACCAAGGGCCTTTCCTCCCTGATCTCACTGGCATCTGCCCCGTTTACCCATCACCGGGCTTATGGGTTGCCCCTAAATAGAGAAGCAACAATAAACAGAAAATGCAGGCAGAGCCCAGTCTGTGACAGCTCTGGGAAGCAAATTGGGACATGGTACCCAATGTGACTGTCCAACCCAACCATAATGTTAACAGGCAGTCTCTGCAGATGAACTTTGCCTTCAGGCCACAGGAAACCCTAACCCAAGCGGAGGCGAAAGGTGGCAATCTCCATGGGCTCTAAATAAACATCAGTGCTGTTGGAAGGCGAGGCAAGAGGGTACAGCAGTGTCAGGGAGGTCGGCTGCAGGAACACCACATCCAGGCCATGGAAAAGGCTGCCAAGGGCTACCTGTGGAGAGCAGGCAGGGTGCAGGCTGTGCTAGGTGCCAAGATACAAGATAACACAGCTCTTTACATGACTCGTCACCTCTTAGGAACCTGACGGAACCCCTCTCCATAGCAACACACCTTACACCTACCAAGTCTGCACACTGAGACTTACTCAACCCCAAAGCCTGTCTGTGGATCTCAGGGAGGAACCATTTTACTGAGCTGTGAGCTCTCAGAGGACAAGGACCATGTCTTAGGTCACCTGTAATCACTGGAGCTCAGCAAAGCGCCTGGATATGAGGGCGTCTATCAGTGTCACTGGCACAACAAATATAGCTTGGTATTTTCCACTTTGCTTAATACAAGTCCCAACTCACAGAACAAAAGTTCTTGAGCTGTATACCATACTTTGCCTGAGACTCACCCTGCCAGGGCTCAGCAACATTGAAAACATGTCAACAGCTTCTCAGAAAGCCTGGGAGTGACACTTTCTTCTCCCATCCTGTGGCCCAACCTCAGTGCAGTCTCACCAAGCTCTCCTCTCATAGGCCGCCCTCACTTGGCCCCTGCTCACCTTGCCTTGGCTTGTGGTACAGTTGAAGCCCAAGTTCTTGGCCTCAAGGCCGCAGTCAAAACCCTTCCGGTGCAAGAGGAGTGCTGTCTCTGCTGAAGGCAAGGTGTCATCCTGGGTGACAGACATCAGGACGTTAGTGCAAAGGCCAGTGGGGGGTGGAGCCCTTAAGACCCAAAGGTGGTACAGGGACAGGGAGGAGCATGGGTGAGAGGCCCAAGCTGAAGGGGCACACACCTCAGCCTGGAGAGCACGGAGGTTGAGCAAGTGGAAGTCACAGGGCAACGAGGAGGCCAGAGGATGAAAGGAGCGCAGGCCAGGGCCTGGGAGTGGCCGCTGGGCTACAGGCAGGGCCAGTACCGGAGTGTTCAGGTGCGCAGAGGTCAGGTGGCTGAGCAGGGATGGATAGCTGGTAGGGTGGCTGTCCTGGACCTGTAAGAGTGGCCCAAGGTGTGGGTGAGGGAGGGAGGCCAGCTGAGGGGAGAGAGAGGCAGGATAAAAGCACATCGGGCCATATCCTTTGCAAAGAGTTTTTTCCTAGGGAGTCTGGACACGGGGTGCCTGGCTCCAAGCAGGCACTATTCCCTCAACCCTTCAGGTATGGCCACATCCCACCTTACCCAACTCAGAAAGGGCTATTTCACCAAGCCATTTCTTATGGATTTTGGGGCTGGGCTCTGCCTGCCTAATATCATCACATGAGTGACAGCCCATCACCCACACCTCCCACCACAGTGCAAGGAGGACAGTGCATAGGCCTCATCATGGGGTCAACCTGTAATTGAGAAAGTGCCCTAGCTATGGTTGTGGGTTTGAGTGTGACTTGGCAGCCCCAGAGTCAGCCTGGCCTCAGGTACCCCATGGTGGCCCTCAGCTCATTCTGAGAGTGCTCAACCCTAAGCTAAAAGTCTCCAAAGCTGCTGCTTATCTGTATTCTAGGTTTTTGACCCTAGTGCTACCACCCTTCCAAGTGCTCAAATTCCCTTATTCCCTTGAGTTCCATTCCCAGGAGGCTAACCCTCTCCCACCTCACCTCTGTACCTGCCTCAAACTCCCTCCCCACAGACCCACTCTGCTCCTGTGGTCACAGTGATACATTGAAGGCAGAGTGCCAACAGTGGCCCTCCTGCTCAGGTTCTCCCCGGGCCTCTGGACACTCAAGGTCATCTGTGGTCAGCCCTGAGCCTGCCCTCCCCACCCATAATCTAGCCCAGCACTGGCCAAGATAGCTTCCTGTGAAAATGGAAATACAAGACAACTGCCAGCTGCAGTGGCTCACGCCTGTAATCCCAGCACTGAGGCAGGTGGATCACTTGAGCTCATGACTAGAACAAGACACTATCTCTAAAAATAGCCGGGTGTTGTGGTGGCTGCCTGTAGTCCTAGCTACTTGGGAGGCTGAGGCAAGAGGATCA